ATCCTATGTCCTTCTCAGGGTCTCAAACTATCTTCTTACTGAATTTCATCTAAATCGGTTCAATAGATCCAGAGGTTACTCCCTACAACGTCACAAACTCACAAACTTTACCTCTTTATAATATTAGTATAGATTAATTGATAATAATTATCTCTTTCTTATTATGTAGAACCAAAAAAAAACCAATAATACTTTGAAATAGGTGAAAAGAAAGTTACACATAATCTGGTTTCAGAATAATTGCAAAGGTTGAGAGTTCACAACATGTAACTGGTAACATTTAACAATACGAGCATAATAGGGGAAGCTTCCCTTGACCTTCAATCTCAGCCCCTTCATGCAAACTGAAGGGCTGCTATTGAATTAAGCTTGCACGCATTATGTCCTGTGATATCTATCTAGGGCATCTACATTTCAGAATTAATTGTTTACTACATAACGATTTCTTCTATACGTATAATAAAATTGTAACTAAGCCGAATCTGTACATTAAATATTTTTCTGGAAAATCTTATTGAAATGAACATTATTATCGATACAGAAGCGGAATCTATAGTTTTTAGATTTTTTGTTCGTCTGTCTGTCACCGCATCACAGAAAAACCACTGGAAGGATTTTGATGAAATTTGGTATGATGATAGCTGGTTATCCGGGTCAACATATAGGATACTTTTTACTGCGGGAAAATATCTCATTTCTGAGAAAAAATACAAAAACTGCAATGTAAGAGTATATTAATATGTAAAACGCAGGTAATGCTAGTTAAGAAAAGTCTTGAAAATAGGCTTAATATTGTTCTTCCATAATACAAGTTCTTCGATCTATTCCTTTTAATAGGATGGAGGGATCGTAAGTTCGTTTGCAGTGTTTTGTCAATACAAAATTTCACCTCGTGCGGGATCGAATTCGTGACCTCCGGTATATAAAACAGTGCCAATCGGTCACGATTGGAATATTGTCACAATAGATCGTAATTTTTTTAATGTAGATAAATAATTCGTACTAATATTATAAATGCGAAAGTAACTGTTTGTTTGTTACCTTTTCAGAGCTAAGTGGCTGAACCAATTTAGATGAAAATTAGTATGGAGATAGTTTGAGACCTTAGAAAGGACATAGAATAGTTCTTACCCCTAAAATCATCCCTTAAAGGGGTGAAACGGGAGGAGGAAGTTTGTATGGGAAATTTTCCATGCTAAGGCTAACTATCACAACATACCTACACGACGGGACGAACCCGAGCGAAGCGAGGCAGAGTCGCTACTCGCTAGTAATATAATATATTACTAAAACTTTAGTATTATGAATTATGAACACTAAGTTTTCTGCAATAAAATTTGTATAGATTTTCGTGAATACTTATTATCGAACGCAGAAGGAGTCGAAGTAGGGTTTCAAATCAACGCGTATATTTTCTTTATGTCTATTGCGACTACGCATAATTTATTAGAGTAATCCAAATTTAATGTTTGTTTTTATTTATTGATTTTGATAGGTAAACATGTAAGTTTCAACTTTTCAAAAAAAAACTATCTATGTATCCACTAAGATTAGCTTCCCAATTTGAAAAAAGTCATAAAAATATGATGAAAACTTTTTTCACAAAAACCTAACAAAAAGAGCAACTGAATAGTAGAAATTAAAATAAGCCCTTTTAACCTCAATAACTAAGCTCCTCAGTTTGTAAGGATGGATGTTTGTTACTCTTTCACACCAGAACGGCTGAACGCATCTGGATGAAATTTGGCACAGAGACAGATTATAGTCTGGAATAACACATAGGAACCATATACTTTTTATCCCGGAAAAATGTACGGTTTCCGTGGGATAGGCTTGGTTTTTTTTTAGAAGCGAACCCGAAGCGAGGGTGAGCCGCTAGTTATAGAAATGAAGTAGTTGAATAACTTATTAAAAAGTCACTGTATAAAATACTTTATTTGACATAATATGTCACATATTTTGCATATATTCAATAAGCATTGCATAATTAACAAATGTTTTATCAACACATCAGCAGGTGGATATTTTATAAGCTTCATTGCTTTGTTTACAAACACAATAAATACTATACTTTATCAGTGACTGACTATAATCATTTTGATTTCAATTTTAATGTCTGTAAATCCAATACTAGGGGGACCTCTTTTAGATGTCAAAAATGCTTGCCTTTAAAAATGTTATAAAAAATTTATAAATGATCGACAATCCAATCCTATTCATTCTACTAATATTATAAATGCGAAAGTTTGGGAGAAGAGTATGGATGTTTGTTACTCTACAGCGTAAAAACTACTGAATGGATTTTAATGAAACTTTACAACAATATAGCTCATACATCAAAATAACACTACCTTTTATCCCAAAAAAAATTATGGTTCCTGCAGGATAGATTTGTTATTATATTTCAATACGGACAAGCCTAAGCGAAGTAATGCTGAGTGCAAATATTATTTTGAAATGATTATATAGAACAGTAAAATTCTAGTTAACTTACTAACTTAATTACTTTTACTTAACTAAGAATTAGAGAAAACATGGTTGACAGGTACATCGTATTTCTTACTTGGTTGTAAATTCCCCATTTCAGACATTAGCCATCTATATATAGGAACATTAAAAACTCTGTATTATGTATGTAAAACATAAGGCACAGATTTTTTCTTTGCATAGTAATCCCTCAACTTAACAATAGATTTCTTAGAAATTTAATTTATTTCTTAGAAATTTACCTGGAGTTGTTAAGAAGAGAATAAAAAGTATAAAAAAGTACCACATTGTTATCTAATAAACAATTTCAAACTCCATATGCTAACCTTATTTGTGAGATTTTCTTTTACCTGCCATTTTAAGAGCTCACAAGCAACTATATAAATGAAAAAGTTACAAGAACTCATGCAAGTTATTTATAAAAATACAAAAAAAAATGTCTTTTTAATTCTATGCAAACCATATTTATCTATATAAAACAGTTATTAATTTAAGCACCTTAGAAAGCATTTTTATATCATTTACAAATGATACTTGTGTTACAAATATAGTGTGTACTAGCGACTCACTCTCGCTTCACTCGGGTTCGTCCCTAGCTTGATTCCCCATACAAACTTTCATCCCCATTTTCACCCCCTTAAGGGATGAAAATGGGTATAGTAGTAGTAGTATGCGGAATAACTATCCTATCTCCTTGCCAGGGTCTCAAACTATCTTCTTACAAAATGTCATTTAAATTGGTTCATTAGATGCTGAGATTACCTCCTACAGCGTCACAAACTCACAATCTCACAAACTTTACCTCTTTATAATATTAGTATAGATAGATAAATGCATGGGTGGTTAAGTAAACCAAACAAAATCATTTTGTTTATATCATAGAAAGTTTTGAATATACATCTGTATGTACTCATTTATGGTAAACTAAATTTTTAATTATGCCATTACTATTTTGTAAAATAATTTGTAAATGTCTGCAGGTGTAGTACCTGCAAACTTTTACAGATATTTTTCTGTATTGGAATGATATTAAAATTACTCAATGTCAGATTTAGAAATCTGGCCTACTTTAAATCTTCACTATATATAAAGTATAAACTGCACTATGTGCATTCATGCATTAATAAAAATGACAGATTTAAAATAAAAATTGAACTTAATCCTAATTATATTATAACTTTGAAAGTTTGTGAGGATGGATGGATGGATGTTTATTACTTTTTCATGCCAGAATGGCTGAACGTATCTGGATGAAATTTTGCAGAGATAGATTATTGTCTGGATTAGCACATAAGTTATGTTTTATCCTGGAAAAAATGTACGGTTCCTGTGGGATAATTTGTTTTTGTCTAGGGACAAATCTGAAGCAAAGAGAGGGTGAGTTGCTAGTACTTACTGTATAGATTTGATTAAATATTTAACTCTACAAAAATCTGCCATATATTTTATATAATAACTTTCTATTAAACAGTTGTCTTGCATAATTATTTTAAATATTGTTTTTATTGAATTTAGTTTTCATCTTTGAAAACTTCTTACCTTTAACATACATTTAATAACATATATAAGCTGTAACAATTTAATTTTGAAAAAAGGTAAGTTCCTTTTTAGATGAGAACAGACCTACTTTCATCATAAAAATAACTGTACACATAGGCTTGTATCAAAACAACTGTAAATGGAGTATTTCTTTACATATTCATTATGTCTATCCTACTGAACCAAATGTCAAAAACTTTATATTTTTATGTACATAATAATGTCGTATGTTATTTTTTTGACTATATTATTATAACAAAGTCACTTTAAAATACTTATTGCCAATGATTTTGAAATATTTATATATAAATATATTTAGCATAACGGTATAACAAACTTAAAAGTAACTGTTAATAAGACAAAAATAAAAGTTAACCTTAAAATAAGCAAACTTTTGTAAGAATCTATAGTCATCATATATGTGAGGTGATCCATATTACAAAAATATTTCAATTAGCATTGATAGGATAGTTATATAGATGTTATGAGATAGTTATATGATAACATAGTTTTTGATATGAACAGATATTATATAGTTTATATTATATTCTATATAATTATGTCTTGGAATAAAATTCATCGAAGAAAGTTCAGTTTAGCAAAATAAGGATAAACATGGAAAAGTTATGAGGCATTAAATATTGATAAAAAGTAAGAGAAAATATTACATAAGTATGTGTGTCTGTAGTTGTTGATTTGTAGTGAAATCTGTGTAGAAGTACACCTATAAAGTTGTTTGTTTTGAACTCTTCAAAACATTAACATTTACATTCTAATTAAAAATAAAATGGTTAATATGCATTAGCGGACTGCAGACACATTAGTAGCTCCGAAAGGACTCAAATTAGGACGTCTAAATTTGAAAGTAGGTGTGTTTAGAAATTCAAAGAAGCTCTTAACATTTGTGCTTGAAAAAAGAAGGTAATTTTAAAAATATTAAGCAGGCGGTTAAAATATTATAAAAATATTATTACCTGATTGGTTACAGCCATTCGTCTGGCTTTCGTCCGTTGGTTTTTCTTTCAATGAAGACAATAGGTTCACAGCTGACATAGCTTGCAATCGCACACAATTTCTCAGTCTTCGGTCAATATATTAACTCTACTATAATTCTAAAATAATCTATACAATATTTACAAAAGTCTTGAGGAAATTATTCTATCAACTAGGTATTGTTTATATCACAGACTTTTCGTTTTTCACTAAACAATACGGATCAAAACGTCCACGCACGAAAATACTATTAATATTTACAAGACTATAAGTATAATAAACTTATTTACACATTAAAAACTAACATTTAAAATCTACTTTTAAGAAATACTCTCTAGCGGTCACAAGGTGTTCATAACTAAAAGAATTTATCAGTTTTCGATGCAAAAATATATAAAACGTCCGCCATATGCCTTTTGAGACCTGTATTATTAGACCAAATTCCAAACACAGCTTATATGTATATAATACCCAGCTACATCACGATAGTCTTGATTTGTCTGGCTTATATCCAGTTGCCATTGTTTAGTTTTTTTTAGATAAAACGGCATTCCATATTATAGGTTGATTATTGAAAACTTAGCGTGATATAATAAAAACTATATTTATATTTTTACATTTCTTAAATTCTGCAATTTGAGATTATTTAAAGTTACCTTAATCTTAAAATATTTTAAGATTAATATTTTTCTTCAATGTGTTTTACGTAAACCGGAGCGTGCAGAGAGAGAAATAGAAATAAAATAAGCACGTCAGATATTTTTCATCCTCATTTAACCTTATTTATCTGTAGTTTTTACGTCAAATCGAAAACCACAGATACAATATTTATAAAATATAAATTATAATTAATATTTAATAATACTCCATCTGCCATCAATGGCGTACCGCTTATGTTGTGGTACATTTATTAGTGATAAAAAGTTATTACTAAATTTCTAATCGTGTGTTATTACAAAAATGTCTACTAAATGGACTAGTAATCAAAGTGAAACTGGCATTTTACGTAAAAGTGAACCTAAAGAGAAGAAAGAAGAGTTATTCGTGTTCGGCTATTCGTGCAAACTCTTCAGGGATGATGATAAAGCCCTGCACATTGATCAAGGCAAACACCTCATTCCGTGGATGGGGGAAGAAACGTTGAAAATCGACAGGTTCGATCCGTTTTTTACTATAAGACTGTTAATTGTGGCGCTAAAAAAGTTAAAAAGTATAGTAAATAATCAGAAAATATTAATTTTTGGAAGATGCTAAGTATTTCGCAGAAAATATTGAACGTTCCCGTTGAGGCGAGAAGACGGCGGAGATTGCCGTACCAGCGGCCGCTGTCTCGCATAATGTTATGGTGACTTCCTCCGGTGGTATGTATAACCTAAAAAGGCATTCTTGCGTACGTATGATAAACATATTTGTATAGGACGTCGTTAATATACAAAACATAGATTGTAATATTTATTTACAATTTAAGGTTTTGTTCTTAAATACTAAGTATCGATCATTTATTATTTTCCAACATATGAGATAGTTTTAGAGAAGTGTTGACTGACATTATTTTATACATATATAAAATCGTAGTGTACTATTATACCAGCAATTTATATAGCAGCATAAGGAATTAATAATGATAAGTTTTATGACACTAAAAATATTTCTGTCCTTCAATGAGATTATTGTCTAATGGAGTCTTATGTTGACAGGTATGATGCAAGAGGCGCTCTTCATGATCTCTCAGCATTGGAAGCCCCACCAGGGGGCTTCGACTGGCGAGTGGAGCTCACGAGAGCTGAGCTGGATGTGGAACAACTCTGTGATGAAGAGAGGTATCGGGCTCTTCATACTGATGAAGATGAGGAAGAAATGTATAAAGGTATTGTTTTTTTAATATTTTGATTGACAGTTTATTTAAAATTATTGATTTTATTGACAATAATTAAAATTTAAGAAAATGTGTCCTCTATAAGGCTACTAAATTATAACAATTTTATCAAATATTGAGATGCCTAATGACATCACAGTATTTGATAAAATGCACATTCACTTTTCATAAAATATGTAAGATATAGAGTACATACATGAAAACTAACAAGGTCGAAGTGGTTATAAGGTCACAACTCACATGAACTATTGTACATCATATTTTTTTTCATAGAGGAAGAATTAAAACGTCTTCATGCAGCTGGCTATGGTCAAGTGGGTTTCAACTATGATACACCTGCTGAGTCTACACCTGAGGCTCAAGTAGTCGAAGTTGAAGAACCTTTTGAACCAACTCCAGCATTTAAAGCTCTTTTACCTATACAAACAGTTTTTGTAAGTACACAAATTAATATTATTATTACTAGCATTATAAAATCAAATGTGTGATTGTTAGTTTTTTTTTGCTTGTCATATATAATAGCAATGGCTTTGTTTTTTTTTTGTTTAGAGTTTTTTTATATTCCAGCACATTGAGTAGTAAAAATAACGAGAGGTTTATTTTGCAGAAGGACACTCTTAGATTTTTAAAGTAGTAATCACACAATTTTCAATGCACATTTTACTCTAGACAACTTCAATAGATAACAAATTTATATACAAATGAAAGAACAATACATTTAAAATATATTTCATTTGTTTGTTATTAAAAGTTAAATTTTTTAGTAATTATTAATTTAAAAAAAAAATCAAACAAAATAAGATGACTTGGGATTGGTTGTAATATCATTATATCCATTTAGGCTGTGAGCCAATCGCAATCATACTATACTTTTGTATTTTCTATATTCAGATCACCTTGTCTCATAACAATTTTTTTTACATCAATCAAATAATTTCAAAAGAAATATAATCTGTATTTTTATTATGCATAGACAACTTTTTTGATTTTGACAACGTAAACATGTGTTTTATCATTTCGCCATGCAGTGTTGCATTACATTTAAAAAAAAAAGACTTAATTGTAAAATTACATGAAAAATCAATTGTTAAATAAAAAATCTAAATAAACTAAAAAAACAATTTTGAGTAAACTTCATAAAAAAGTAATTAAAAAACAGTACTATATAATTTTTATTTAATATAATAGTAATTGTTTTATTTGGAGCAACAAGGGAACCATTTTTTGTTAGTACACACCTTAGATACAACTAATACACTAGGGTTAGTAACAAATATAATATAAGTAATATAAATAATTTTTTGTAATAGTAATAATTTCTTATCCCGTTTTTGTAATACTTAATTAAAGTGATATTTAAATTATTATTATTTTGTTAACAGCCTGACAGTCAAAAGCAAAATGCTATAATAGAAAAAACAGCAAAATTCATAGCATCGCAAGGTGTTCAAATGGAGATCCTCATAAAAGCAAAGCAAGGAGAGAATCCACAGTTTAAATTTTTAAATAAAGATTCACCACTGAACCCATATTATACAGCATTAATAGGACTTGTTAAAGCAGGCAAATGGCCCGAGAAGACTGAAGTTGTTGAAGGTATGTACTTTATTTTCTTTTCATTATTTTGCTCTTTGCATATTAAATGAATCTAATTCATTAGTTAATATAAATTTTAGTGTTATATTGTTTAAAGTAATGTTTTTTTTTTAATTTTTAGAAAAACAAGAAGTCAATGATGAATACCTTCATCCAAGCTTAGCATCAACAGTAATAGAATCGGTAAGTTATAAAATAACCTATCATATTATTAAAATTATAAGGAAAAATATTTTTATGTAAGACTAGAGACTTACCCTAACTTCGCTTGAGTGCATCCCTAGATGTGTTCTATTTTTTTTGAGCGGAACCCTAATTATTTTTCTAAAATAAATGTAGCCTAATTTTCTCCTTATAACATCGGCTATCTGCCAGTGAAAGCCCCGGCAAAATCAGTCCAGCCGTTTGAGAGATTAGGTGGAACAAACAGACAAAAATTTAAAAAATGCGTTTTCTTATAAGAACCGTATAGAATTTCATATGCATTTAGTAAAAAGCCGTTCTTTTTAACCGACTTCCAATTCCAAATAGGAGGAGGTTCTCAATTCGTCGGAATCATTTTTTTATGTATGTTCACCGATTACTCGAAGACGCCTGAACTGATTTGGAAAATATTTTTTTGTTTCAAAGGGTATAATTCCCAGGTGGTCCCATATAAATTATATCATAATCGGTCGAGCAGTTTTTAAAAAATCAACAAAAAATATATTGTTTAAATAAATTGTTTAATCAAATATGTTATTAAAAAACTTTCTTCTTACAAATTACCTGCTTGTTATTTAATTGTATTAATTGTATAAAGACCGACTTCCAGGCACTAAAATGTAAAAAATAACTAAACGGAGGTTTTCATTTAGAATAGATACCTAATCAGATATTTTCGAAGTCGGTGCCAGCCTACAATATTTTAAGATATGAATATCTAATAGGTAAATATGTATTTTACGTATAGAAATATATTTGCTTTGCATCGGCATTGTGCACTTGTGTATATTCTTCAGAATTTTAATATGTACTTATGTATAAAATATCAAAAACAAAAAGATAAAATTATTCCATTCTATTATAGGCTCCATCCATCCCAAGTATCCACTACAAACCATCAGCCGACTGTGACTATACATTACTTATATCTAAAATGAGGGGGGAAACCACATTGGACGAAACATATTCACCAGAACTAGCACCAGGCGAAGTGGCTCCGCCGGGAACTGAACCTCTACCACCTCGAGTCCACGCCGAGATATCTAGGGCTCCTGTTATGTACAATAGACCAGATTATCAAGGTATGTATCACATTATTTTTACATATTCCAATATTTGTATATAAGTGTGCAGGCTGGGAAGTCGGGTTCAAATCCTGGGTCTTGCACCTAGGCATGGAACATTTCACGAGTAGCAAGTGAAAAATCATTACCTGCTACTTTTCACAATGATTTTTCATTTCGACGGTCTGGTGCCACACTTTATATTATTTGCTATTAAAATGAAGTATGAAATGTCACCAATGTTATTTATACCTAATTATAACGAAAACAGAAAACTTAACTAAATTGTTATATTTACACTAACTAGTAACTACTATCTATATTTATTTAAATATAATTACAACGAAAACACAAAACTTAAGTAAATTGGTATATAATATATTGATGAAATCACGTGAAAAATATACGTAATTTTATCATATGATAATGATTTAAAAGTAGCAATCATTTCCATGCTTACTTGCACCTATGATATTTTCATGTGTGTATTACATATTTGCAACATGATTACCACTTGTCTTATGGTGAAGGAAAACATAGTGAAGGAAACCTGCATGTCGGAGAGAACTTTTCGAAAGTCATATGAAGTCTGCCAACCCGCACTTGGCCAGTGTGGTTAACCTGACACGGGCCTCCCTTCAACAAGGGGGTCGTTGAAGGGAGGCCCGTGTCCAGCAGTTATATATCAAAAAGTGCTGAATACAATAATACTTGAGAGCGAATAAACTGATTGTTACAGTGAAGATTTTAAATAATTATCATATTAAAACTATTATATTTATCTCATCTAGAAGTAAATAATAAAAAAAACTGAATGATTGTTTCAGCTCCGCCCAATCCGATACAGCAACAATACGCGGCGTACTACCACCAGTACATGGCGCAGCAGGCGCAGCAGCCGCCGCCAGCGCAGCCCCCGGCTCATCAGCCCCCAGTGCAGCCCGTCCCGACGCGGAGCACCATAGTTACCCCAAGCAAGTCCACTGGCCTCAGTCTCATGAAGAATTACAATACGGACAGTGATAGTGATGATTCTGGTAATTATTATTTTTTTATTTATTTGAAAACTAGTGAAAGTTTGTATGTATAGATGTTTGTTACTCTTTCACGCCAGAACGGCTGAATGGATCTGGATGAAATTAGGCACAGAGATAGATTATAGTCTGGAATAACACATAGGAACCACATACTTTTTATCCCGGAAAAAATATACGGTTCCCGAGGGATAGAATTGTTTTTGTTTTTCTAGAGGCGAACCCGAACGAAGCGAAGGTGAGCCGCTAGCTAGTTATAATTTTTAACAAATAAATTACTATTAATTAATATACATATGTATAATTAAAAGATATTTATTATTTATTGTTTTATTTAATATTCTAAGAGTAATGTAAATTTGTATATCTTATACTTAAAAAACAATATGGTTTATAATAGACATTTTATCTAGCACTTGTAACTCTACTAACACACCAATGCCTGTGTATTACACATAGTTTCTATAAACATGCATGAAGGAATAAATAATATCTTTCGCTTAACAGACTTTGATGACTCCTCATCGTCAGACAGCAAAGACAAACCAATAATAATCACTCCACCTGAAGATATTAAAATAGTGATCGACAAAATGGCGGCCTATGTCGCACGAAATGGCGATGAATTTGAAGAAATCGTGCGTGCGAAAAATGATCCGCGATTCACTTTCTTAGAACCAAATAACTTATATCATACATTTTATAAGAAATTGATGCAAGAGAAACGAGGAATCGATGTCAATGGGAAAGAAAGGAGTAAAGGAAAAAGACATGATAAGGGTATGTGTGATTTTACTTAAAACTTCATCCTCTATGTGATATATGTATGTATATTGTATACGTAAGCAACCTGCTTTGATTTGTGTAAATGATATATTGTAATAAGTAATAATGTACGCCTGACCGAATATTGAAACGCGACACGGGTTCTCCAAAGCATGAGGGTGAAACACCGCTAACTTCTCAACTCGAAACTGTTAATGAGAATTTTTGACATAAAAACTCAATAACATAAACTTGACCCGACCCAGAACTCGAACCCAAGACCTCCAAATATACATGCTATGCACCTATTTCTACATATGTAATGCATCTAAATTAATTACTGGTATGTGCTGTATTCAACTACCGTAGTAGATAATATGCGGGTTTTTACAATACAACATTACCTGTTTTAGATTAAGTTGCTTTTAATTACCTTTGTCCATTCCAACGAATTTATATAAAAAAATTACCAAATTTTATATTTTTCTCTTCTTTTAGTGCCAGTATCATTCTCAATAAAGAAACATAAAGAGCCCGACCCGATTCTACCGAAACCAGCATTGCCATACGAATCTAGCTCCGACGACGAAAAAGGGAACAAAGATGCAGAAAAACAAGAAGAATCACCTAAACAACTTCCAAAAACAAACATTCCACAGATATACACTACTATTAACAATATCATACCTCCAGTGGTTGTTTACAAAATGGAGGCTGCACAAATAAACAATCTACCTGTTATTAAAACAATAGAGCCGATGAAAGTGAATAGTGTACCAAAACCACTTGTGCTCACTGAAATCAAAGAACCAGTGATAAAGGAGATTCAAATAAAAGAGCAGCCGAAAATCGAGGACAAACCATTGTTTATATCTGAGAAAATTGTACAACCAATCATAGAAATCAAAAAAGATAAAACTCCAGAAAAAAGAGAAAGAGAAAGAAGCAAAGAAAGAGAAAGGAGAAGTCCAAGTAGAGATAAGAGGAAACATCGTGATAGAAAGAAGGCATATCGATCTGAACATAAATCGGAACATAAAGAAAGATTGGAGAGACAAAGTGTGGAGAAGGAGAGAGATAGAAAGAGACACAAAGATATTGAGAGAGATAGGAAACGAAAGTATAAAGATGATTTGGAAAGTGAAATAATATCATTAGAAGATAATTCAGCTGATATGATAGATTTGACAGGCGAGCAGTCAGATTCCAAAGGTATGACAAGGTTTAGTTATTATATTTGGTATTGTCTAATTATATCTTACATCACACTTTGATTGAAAAACAAAATCTATTATAGCCTAGCAACTCACCCTTGCTTCGCTCGGGTTCGTCCCTACTTTGATTCCCAATACAAACTTTCATCCCCATTGTCCCCCTTAAGGGATGATTTCTGGAATAAAAATTATCCTATGTCCTTCCCAGGATCTTAAACTAGCTTCTTAACAAATTTCATCTAAATCGGTTCAGAAGATCCAGAGATTACCCCCTACAACATCACAAACTTACAAACTTTACTTCTATAATATTAGTATATATATGGGGGTTCATCCAAAGTTAAATTTGTAACTGGGATGTTCTGTAATTGTATATCTCAAGTATATTGCTACTTCATCCAATTTTTTATTTAAGTGCACAATTATAAAATAACTAAATATCTATACCTATTCTATAAAACTAGATCAAGTAATCATGAAGAAACAAGAAGGCTTAATTTCTTCAAATTTTACATTTAGGTACTATTATATAAAAATATACTAAACTTGTACGCCCAATATGCCTGGATCTCGCCACTTCTTTGACTCTTTTAGAACTATAATAATAATAACCCCCCCAAGGGATCACCTTGCCGCGGTGGGGGGCTTGAAGGAAGGCTAGTACGGGTAAATGGTCAATTATAACTGGACCATACAATTTCTACAAATAGACCCCAGTAGTAATGGGTGACACAGAAATACCAATAACATTTAGGTACAGATTAGACAGGCAGATGTAGTAAGTTCATACTGTGTAGATCAAAATGACAGCTTATCAGATTAATATTTTTCATTTTTCATTTGTAAAAGTATATATTAATAGTGTTGCTTAGTAAGTTGTTTTTAAATAACAGCAAACTAAATTAAAATTATTATCCTTAATTAATTTTAACTTTTTAAATTACACATAGAACAATTATATGGCTTAAATAATTAATACTATATTTTATATTTTTCTTTATGGTTATAAATATAATAATGGCAACACTAAATATAGATTACTAATTAATATTTTAAAATTGTAATAATTATAAAAATAATAGCAAAAATTAAATAAATAATTTTCCATATTCAATTATAATTAAAATTATAAAAATGTTTAAAGTTAAATAATATTGTAATTGGTGCAATTTTCATTTTGTTAATTGTGGGTAGGCTGTCTGTAACAACTATACATTCAAGACATGTAACACCTCAGTCTCTCCCGTGACCATGGATGCTGTAAAGCATTCGAAACGTCGGGAAACAAAAATGCAAATAAATCCGCGACAAAATCCGAAAAGATAGTTTTATTTAAAACCCGAATATGGTAGTTACAAAGCAAAGGATTGGGGACCAGCGCCGAGCAATAATACGTAAACATCTTTTAAGCAACGAAGAAATTAAAGAAATAAGGAAACAGGCAGAACAACACTTAAAAAACACGGAAAATCTTACACTCAATTCACATATTGTACATCAGGAGAACTTAACACAGGATACAAATAAAAGAATGAAATGGACAAAAAGCATGAACGAGACCATTATAAAACAATATTACATTATAACGGAGTTAGAAATTAATAAAACAGGCTATAGGCAATCATTGCATCAGGCAGTAATAGGAAAACACCCAGAGTTGAACCAAGTATCTGAACAGCGAATTTCAGACCAACTTAGAGTAATCATGCGGAATAAAATGATTAGTGAGGACAAATTACAAGAAATACGGGAAGAGGCTAGTAGAGAACTATTTAAACTTAATAAACAAGCAAATAATAAGAATAATAATGCTCTCAACAATAGTGAAAGTCATTTACAACCCTCAGGAATTGCTGGACACGATGATGTACAAATCAATAAGAAACAAATCAACAATAGAGAAATAATATTTCAATCAAATACGCAAAATACTGATAGCAGTGGCACCATAAACCAAGATAACGTTGAAGAAGAGTTTAACAGAATATTCATACTTTTTAGAAACACAGACCCTACATCTAAACCATACATCCCAAAACAAAAAACTTCAAGAAAACTAACGTCCATTGTAAATTATATAAATAGTAAAGTTTTGCCTAAATATTTAAATACGGACACAGAATATGAAACACTACAAACACTAATATATACAGCAGCTTGCACATCAGCATTACTTAATGGGACAAAATTTAGGATTGATGTATCTGTAAAAAAATGTAGTAAGCCTTTTTGGCAAGTTCGGTTAGAAAACAAGATCAAACAACTAAGAGCAGATATAGGCCGATTAACACAATTTATTGCTGGAAACCAAAGTCCAAAAATTCTTAAAAAAATTCAATCTATAAAAGATAGGCATAGTAAACATTCTCAATATGAACAATTAAATACAGAACCAAACCAAATTTTAGATACTCTAAAGCAGAAATTAAATGTCGCTTCATGTAGGTTAAAAAGATATCTCACTTGTACCGCAAGAAAACAACAAAATATTAAATTTATTAATAGCGAAAAAATCTTTTACAGAAATCTCTTACAAAATATACAAGAGGCTCCAAACCTTACACCACAAACACCACAGGCACATGATTTTCATGCATATTGGGCAAATATTTGGGAAAATCCTATCCGACACAACCCTAATGCAAACTGGCTTAAGGATATTCAAAATGACAGAAATGTAAACGAAATGTTATTTACTGAAATATCAATGAATACATTATTAAAAGTCCTTAATCGTGCTCACAATTGGAAGGCTCCTGGTACAGACAACATTCATAACTACTGGTACAAAAAATTAACATATATACACCCATATCTACATACTTACATTAATAAATTTATTCTCTTATCAAACACAATGCCTAAATATATTACTCAAGGAAAAACATACATGATAGCAAAAAATAGTGAAACTCAAAATCCAGAAAATTACTGACCCATAACATGCTTACAAACTATTTACAAAATAATCACATCATGTATCAGCGAAATCATTTATAGCCACCTCATTGATAATAATCTACTCACTGAACAACAAAAGGGTTGTAGGAAGAACAGCCAGGGATGCAAAGAGCAACTCACCTTGGATGCTATAGTTATAAATAGTGCTCGCAAAAATAAACAAAATATTCATACAATGTTTATTGACTATCGCAAAGCTTTCGATTCAATTCCTCACAGCTGGATACTCAGAACTCTTCATTTATATAAAATTAATCCTAAAATTATAAACTTTCTCAATATTGCCATGCAAAACTGGCAAACTATTTTAAAAATTAACCATGTTGTGGGATTTTTCAAGGTGACTCTTTAAGCCCCTTATGGTTCTGTATTGCTCTTAACCCTCTATCAGAATTGTTAAATAAAAGTAACATTGGATACAGACTCAATCGTGCGCAGATCGATAGTACTATTTCACATTTAATGTATTTAGACGACATTAAACTGTATGCTTCTAATAGAAAGGGATTATTTAAGTTAGCGGACATCACACAGGAGTTCTCTACGGATATCCGTATGCAGTTTGGCATAGACAAATGCAAAATTCTTTCAGTCAATAAAGGTGTAATAGATAAGAACGCATATATACTCGAAACTGGTGAAACGATTGAACCAATGGATGAATTGAGCACTTATAAATATTTAGGGTTTCATCAATCTAAACAAATTAAGGTAAAGCAAACAAAGGTAGATTTAATTAATAAATTTAGGTACCGTGTAAATCTCATTTTAAAAAGCCACTTAAATTCAAAAAATACTACTAAAGCTATTAACACCTTTGCCATTCCCATACTCACGTACTCTTTTGGTATAATACACTGGTCACAAACAGATTTACAAAAACTACAGCGAATCATACACACACTACTTACTAAATTCAGAAAACATCACCCAAAATCATGCATTCAAAGGATCACATTACCGCGTAACGAAGGAGGGAGAGGATTTATAGACATACGTAATCTTCATAATAAATTAATATCTATTTTTATTCTAAGTCAGAACATTCAGCAATCCACAAACATGCAATAGAAACAGATAAAAAACTTACACCACTCAATTTACACGAAAAATAAACGTAGATCAATGAAAAAATTACAGACGTGACTCAAAAAATAGCGTCATGGGCCGGAATATCCTTACACGGGAGACACCGATCTCACCTGTGCCAGCAATATATAGTCGATAAAGATAGGTCGAACGAATGGCTTAGGAGGGGCAAATTGTTTCCAGAGACCGAAGGCTACATGCTCGCGATACAGGATGAAGTGATTGCCACTCGTAACTACACAAAATATATATTAAAAGATTCCAAACAGATAAACGATTTATGTAGACATTGTAATAGTGCCCCCGAAACAATCCAACACATAACCGGAGCTTGTAGAAGTATTGTACAAACTGATTACAAGCATAGACACGATCAATTAGCGTCAATAATTCACCAACACCTTGCATATGATTACAAATTTATAAAAAATAAACAGCCATATTATAAATATAAACCCGATTGCGTTTTAGAAACCAGTGACTATAAGCTTTACTGGGATAGGACTATATTAACAGATAAGACAGTACATAATAATAGACCAGACATTACCTTTTATGACAAGAAAAATAAAACAATATTTCTAATAGATATAGCCATTCCTAACACACACACAATATTCAGGCCACTGTGTCTGAGAAACTGTCGAAATATCAAGACCTTGCTATAGAAATTAAGACCCAATGGCAAGCCCAAACTGTGCATATTTTACCAATTGTATTGTCATCCACTGGTGTAGTACCTAAATCATTAGTAAACAGTCTAAAAATAATAAATATTCCAGTATATATAATTTACACTTTACAAAAAGCCGCTATACTAAACACCTGTCGAATTACACGAAAATTCCCTGCATCCTCAACCATTTCTAGTACTTCCAGTCACACTAATTTTTAATTCAAATAATGGTTAAGGCCCGTGTGATAGAGTAATACCTTCTTTTGAAAGGAAGAAGAGAAGATAAATTTCTTTTAAAAATAATAATAATAATAATGGCCGCCTGGCCTATTTCGGTCAGCGCTGCCAATATCATTGAGGCTAACAAACTGCGCAGGAGGTAATATAATATACACAACGTGCACTCTTTATTTTTGTCACTTTCACACTCTGATGGGGCGACTATTCGAGACGGCCGGCGAGAGATCAGGCGCAGGAGCGATGCGGTACGTGCTCTCTTAGGCAACGGGAAGTGAAATACCGCGCACTTCCCAACCCCGGACTATTACTGAGAATTTCGTGATAGAAAACTCAATAACTGCACTTGGCCGACCCGGGACACGAACCCAGGACGTCGGGATAGTTAGTGAACGTATTTATAAAAGGAAACGTAATTTCAGTGGAAGTCGAGTCGGAGGCGGAGCGCGCCAAGCAGCAGGCGCGGCGTGCGCGCGCGGCCGCCTTCCTGCGGCGCGCCGGCGTGGACCCCGCCGCCGCCGCGCTGCCCGCCACCTCGCTCGCCAGCGCCATGGTACCACCTATACGTGTACACATACATATTATACCTATACATATACACATACATACTGTACACTTTTATCTATATACTAGCGGATCACCCTCGCTCCGCTCGGGTTTGCCCCTAGTTACGTATTAAGGTTTAGTGTAGATTTCACAGAGATGAGATATTTTCCCGCAGTAAAAAGTATCCTATGTGTTGACCCGGATAACCAGTTCCATCAAAATGTATCTAGTGGTTTTCCCGTGATGCGGTAACAGACACAGACAGACAAAAATTCTAAAAACTATAGATTCGGTTTCTGTATTTTTAAGAAAGTCTATTTTAATAAGATTTTCTAAAAAATATTTAATGTACAGATTCGGCTTAGTTACAATTTTATTATATTTATACATGTTTTAATTTTTAATTCATTTATTTATAAAAATATTTTTTTATGTATATACTAGCGGACCCGACAGACCTTGTCCTGTCTACACGTCTTTAATTTGAAAATTTCAAACTTTTTTTAATAATTTTTTGATGAAAATTATTATTCAAATTGTGAATCTAAACCATTCCCAGATCCCCTTGAACACACACAAAAAATTTCATCAAAATCGGTCCAGTCGTTTGAGAGAAGTTCAGTGACATACACACTCACAGAAGAATTATATATATAAAGATGCTCTGTCTTCCTATAAATAGCAGTCAAATAAGGTTTTTTTTAATAATTATTTCCTTTGTAGATTCTGTTGAAAATTCGTATAAATAATTTTAAAAATCGCTAGTGCCCGACGACCGTAGCTATACTCGTTATCTTTCTCGTACAATTTTATGTTATCATCATAGTTGACTTATACATTATTCATCAAATACATATCTATATATTAATTATGTGTTACTCTACCACTTTATTAATCTATGTTTACATTATTTTCTACATTTTTTGAATAATTATAAAAAAAAATCATTTCACTCACAGGTCGACACGTTAGAGTCTCTGCGAAAGAAGAAAAGTGATGAGGAAAAGAGACTGAGACGAGACAAACGGCGGCGACGGGATAGGAAAGGTACTAGTTTTCCTTCTAATTATTCGTGAAAGAAGCGTGTTGTATGTTATTATGTTAGGTATTTTTGAAGATGTAAAAAAATGGGGTTGTTTTTTACCCGACTTCGACGAAACCCAGAGGGTTATGTGTTTAACCTGTATTTATGCATGTATATACACTACATATGTATGTGTGTATTCTAAACTTATGTTTTCTCGTAATTATTAAACTGCTTAACCTATTTTGATGATCCATACGTCGTTAGATTTGTTTCATTGATAAAAATTGTTGTTCAAATCAATCAAGTGGGATATCAAAATACAGGTTTTAAGTGGCAATTACAAAAATACATACGACTTGTATGTTTAAACATACATATTTAATAAACATAACATGTTTGAACTGACCAAAACTAAGAGGCAGTAAATAAAAAAAATTGACACACTTAAAAAAACCGTAAAAATCGAACTAAAGAGATAAAAAAAGTCGACGTAGGAACATAATGTATGCATGTAATATGTATGTATGTTTGTATGTATATTTATATTATAATTGATGTTTGTAGTTTGTACCTACACCGCACCTCGTTATTATTTTATATTTTCTCAAGCTTGAGGGTTTCTGGTAGAGATCTCTTAAAGAGATAAATCATTAGTTTTTTTTTCTGGTACATAGATAAATAAATAATATTAGCATAGCATACAAGTTTTATATTAGCTGCGAGTCTTGCTACTTGTATTCAACATGTCGCCGAATATATATTTCTATATACACACGAATATTTACAGAATATTTTAAGTCTATAAATTACATTAAACTAAAAAAAAAACCTTAAGTATATATACATAATATAATAACGAAAAAATATTATTAAAAGGAGTCCCTTTAGGCAAGGTTCCGAAGATACTGGCAGCGTTCCCCCTTTGAATAGCTAGACTAATTCTCTGTCCGAAGTAGCTGCCAGCTCTTCGGTCTCCTGTGACGTCGAATAACCTTTTTGCTATTTCCTTAAAAAGTCTTATAGGGCTAGGACCCCACGGACCAAGGGTCTCGACACCGAAAGGAACAAAATCATATTCCGAACCTAGATCCCTGTATTTGTATGCTTTGGTTTTTTCAGCCGCTTCACAAGCCGCACCAGCTCTGTTGTTGGTTCCATGTAGATGGGAAGGGGCGAGCGTGTCTGAACAGGTTGCATCCCATACCAGCACCCGGCCCATCTTCCATGGAATTAAACTCATACCATCCGGTCTCTTGCCATCGTCTCTTGCAATACCAGTCGGCTCAAGTCGACTTGGCACGTTGATGGTGGCAAGGGACCGGCGTATGATATCGTTAAGCGCGGCATGTCTCGAGAAGCGGCCTGCACTTTTTTGGCATGACAGACCATGATGTCCTAGCTTATCGACATCACTACCATAGGGACATTTATGAGGAGCGCAGACCGGAACCCCAAGCCGTAGACAGGTTGTGATTCGGAGCGTTTCAGGCTCCAGAAATGTTCCTGTATTTGACGAAGGGTACGCGTGAAGCCAGTAGCCAGCCTCATGCGTACCCACGGCCAAAAGCCTAGCACGCGCCGAGCCTGTACTACAGCTTAAAAGATTGTCATAAGTCAATTTGCAGTTTATGTCGTCCCAGCTCCTCTGTGAATTTGCAGAAACTGGAAAATTTTGACCTGGGCATGCAATTAAAAAAGCGTTTCTAGCTTCTTCCAAACCAGCAATCTCAAAGTTTGAAGGGGATGCCCTTAAAATTTGACTTATGAGATTCGCTGAACTATGAATAGAAGATAGGAAGGCTGGTAAAGCGACACTGGAAATTTTGCGAATCCCTAAACCACCATAACGGATAGGTAGGGATGCTTGGGTCCAAGATTGCTCGTTCAGTTGCATATTAAGAATCGATTCTAAGCTGATTTTGATTAAGTCGTCTACTTGTGTTAAAAGATCTGGATGATTCCAAAAGGAGCAGCAACAGAGCACATACGTAAATTTTGGGACGAAAAGACAGCATTTTAAGATGCAAAGTGCATAATGTGGACTAATTTCAAGGAGACGGTCAACAGAATTTTGAAATTTAGTGATTGAATTATTAATATATTCCGAAATAGATTCATCAAAAATTGGAGAACCTAAAAGGTAAAGGGAATTACTGTTAACTATTTTAATATTTGGAGCCAGAATATTAAATTTTTGTTTTACATCATTTAAATTTAAGTCACAGTTATTTATAAAAAGTTCACATTTGCTAAAATTAAGTTCCAAACCAATGGCTTCAAATTTATTTTTGATTAAAAAAAGGTCCGAAAACACAGTATCCACATCACCTCCTATAGTTCCGTCGTCCAAATACCAGACGTTGAATTTAGAATTTAATTTTTTAATTATCGGATTTAAAGCCAAACTAAAAATTGCAGGCCCAAGGGGATCACCCTGTTGACAACCTACTTCCGAGGATAGTTCATTAGAATGATATAATAATTTTGTTGGGTCAGCGCAACTGAGAAGAAGATAATTGTATATTTCCGGTATATGCTGTTTTATTTCTGTCAGCAGGGTATCCCTATTTACCGAATTGAAAGCATTTTTGACGTCAATTTTGAGCAACACGTCAGGCTGGGCGTAAGTTAGGAAAGAGCGTAAGGCATGGACGGCTGCCTCACAGGCTCCTTTTACACCGAAACCTAACTGTACGGGTTCAAATTCCGAATTTAATTTTGGTAAAATATGTCGAACAGCAATTTTGGAGGCCGTACGTCGAAGTGTTGATCCAACAGCAATTGGTCTTACCCCTCCGTCCTTTTTGGTGAGGGCGATGAGGTTCGCGCCGAAAAGAATGGGAACAATTTCTGGATTGACATTACCGGAATACATAAAATTGATTAATTTAGTGATCGAGTTTACAAGTTGCTCACCTGCATCACCCACAGAATACGATGTTAAGTCTTTCAAATGTTGGGGTGAGATTCCATCCAAACCCGCAGCCGAACCTGGTTTAAAAGATAAAATGGCATCCGCAACATCTTTGATTTGAATTTTAAGGCATTCTTGCACTGCTGTTGGTGGGTCGAGAAAAAATGGGTTTACTGGAGCTGGAGGGTATTTTGTCCGTAAGGCCTGAAGGGTGTCAGGGGTATCTTGATCCTGATCTGGTGATAGCACGTCGTTGGAGAACAAAAGGCGAGCGGCACCTTTAAGATCTCCGTCACATATTTTGTTTTGAATGAATTTGTTGCGATTACGATCATGTTTGATTGGAGGTGCGGGAGAAGGCGAGGAGCTTACAGCACAGTTATTCTTGATCTTCTGTGTCAAGGATAAATTCGGTTCTTCAGTTTTTATTATATGTAGTGTACTGTATGAAAATAAAAATAGGTTCTGCCAGTCTTGAGTACGATTGCTAATGTAACATTTCTGGATTAAATGTGACAAATGTGTAGCAACTGTTGTTCGAGCTCCTCGTGGGATTCTTTTAACTATGGGTACACTATTTTTCAAATGGCTAAGATATGTGTGGAAAGGAGTTGCATCGTTGGCTACATAAGTAGGCGCATTCGGAATAATGGGGTGGATATCTAAAGGTGGACTGTTTTGGCTACTACATTTTCTGTGTGTTTTTGTAGTGTGTATGTTGAGGCCTTTCAAAGATTTGAATGTTTTGTTGCACTGTGTACATGTATGGGTCGTGTTCGACGTGCTATCACAAGATTGGGTCACGGACTGCATTTAAAACATTTCAATACTTAATTAAAAAAAATAGCTTAAAACAAAATTAAAAAACACAATAAAGTAACTTAAAATAAACACTGAAAAAATAAATAAAAATAAAAAGTCAAAATATGACGGCTGCTTTTTACGTGCAGATTTTACGTGTCCGGGCTTGTATAATTTGTTTACTAACTGGAACCGGCCGTTGGAGCAGACGGGTCCTGGAGTGGAGAGCACGTCTTGGCAAACGCAGTGTGGGATGTCCTCCGGCCAGATGATCGACGATCTACGTAAGATTGTCTGAGTAGGCAGGATGAGGATTGCGGAAAACCGGGATGTCTGGCGTGAACTTGGGGAGGCCTATTATGTCCAGCAGTGGACTGCAATAGGCAGAGCCATTAATTTGTATAATTCCATTTGTTAAACGCCTTCTTCGCAGAAACCTGTAGTCTCAGACTGCACAATATTTATTTTACAGCTCTACTCTTTGCCTTATTAATTTTATAAACTAGAATTGTAATTTAAAGACTTTTTATATTGTAACTATTATTTATTTGTTAACACACATTGTTATTTCTTATCTAGGCAACGGATGGCAATTGTTTTCCGACGCTTATTATCCTCAATTTCGAGTCAAAATAATATCTATATTCTTAATAAAATAACTATTTAATTCTGAGCGGAAAGTGTCATTTGAGATACCAAAATATTCATAATATATATAGTTTCGTGGTCTATTATATATAATATTTACACATATCCGCTCTATTGAATACTAAAAATATCTAAAGTTGGTAACAACTCGGCCATCCGAAAGCTTTACGAGTCCCTCGTAATAAATAAAGATAACACAAAAAAAACATAAGAAAAGCAAAAATAAACAAATTCAATAACCGATAATTACTCTTAACTATACTAAATTCAACAAAGCTAACCTTTCATTTTAACCAGCTTAATTCTAATTTAATTTTAATTCCTCACATTATAATACATAAATATTATATTCTTAGTATATCTTTTATAAATTTACAAATATCTATCCAATCAGCATGACTTTAATCAATATAATTCCAAACTATTTCATTCGAAAGATCCATGACATTGATCTTTCCTACTTAACTAAAAAAAAAACAATTATATTTTGCTGATCCATGACATTGATCAACCTCTATAGAAAAGACGGAACAATAACACATTAGTTGATCCATGACATTAATCAACGAATATGCCTCTGATACGACCCATGACATTGGCCATCTCAGAGATGCACAAATCCATGACATTGATTTGTACATATTACGCCGTTACTTT